TGCAAAAACGAGAGTGAATTCTCAAAATGTGCAAAATGAGAGCGAATCTTCCACTAGAACATTGAAAGATACACCACCATGATAACTGTCTTTTGTGCATGGAGGGAGAGAGATAGAGGGGCGGCGAGCTGTACAGAGAGCCGCGGCAAACTCACCGCCACTTCTCTCACTCTCTCTATTTCGAAAATGGAATGGCGCGCGTGCGGGCGTACAACTCTTATTTTTTTTTCCCATTCGTTTTCGTTATTTTTCAATTTTTTTATATTCGACTTTTTAATCCTTTTTTTCTTTTCTCTGTAGTGCCATCCCAACAAACCCAGGGCCCGGCCTTTAAGCAGCGATCAGGCCTTCTCTTGGCCGACCCCAGAACACTGGCGCATTAACCACAAAGCCGCGCAGCCAATGTATGGGCCAAGTACTGGTGGTTTAATCTAGACACTTCAGTGTCGTATATTCCCATTACATGTGCTAAGGCTTCGTAATTCTGCTTTGCACTTCGCTCATAATGCTCGCTCTGCTTTCAGTCTTAGCTCAAAAATGTGTTCCCATTGATTGGCTCCATGCGCAAAAGTCACACACGAAACTAAATCAGTGGAGGCTAACAAAGGCTTCTCTGTTCCTCGCATAGGAACTGTGATGGTAAAGGAGAAACCAAGAGAACTACAAACTTCGGGATGAACGTGAACCACCAGTACCTTCCGAACCTCTTTTTCCCAGGAGCAGCTGGAGAAAAGGAGTGCTACAGCGGGCGACCGGTCCTTCAGTGTTGAGGGACCCTACTTTTGTTTAGACGTGTTTTTTTCACCTTCCTTTCTTCTTTCGTTCTCTTTTTTTTCCTGTTTGTCCCCCCCTCCATCTTTTATGCCTGAGAGAGGTCATTTCCGAGAACATGTAGCAGAGGAAAGAAACAGAAGGAAAACGGAAACAAAAATCCGGCCGTGATAGCGATCAGATACATCCTGGAAATTTCTCGTCAGTGAGGACCTTTCCCAAGAACGTGCACAACTATTCCGACATGGTTAGCTGGAGGGGGGGGGGGGGGGGGGAGAAGGGGACGAAACAAAGATTTGGCCGTGATAAGCCCTCAGTCACCCCTGCCCAGGGCCACACTAGTCTTCTCTGTACTAATCCACGTTCTAACGGCAGATCCATTTCCATTTTGCAGGTCGCTGGATGCTAGTTTTTGTTTCCTTATTCTCCTTTGTTCAGACGCATGGACTCCCATTCACAAACGACAAGCTGTAGCTCTGACATGCATCGATTTGTGCATGTCACTGTAGCGCAAGGCCATGCTAGTCATTTCAAAAATTGAGCCGCTATCCACGCCGTGCAGAGTCATTTCATTTGACTGGACCTCAACAAAACTTCTGTTTCCTCTTTTTTCCTCTTTTCATTTGACTGGACCTCAACAAAAATTGAGTCTGCTTTTGTGCTCTCCGGTCGCCCGTTCTCGTTTTCAAAACGAAATACCACCTACACCTGTGCCGAGGCTCCACCGAGCCCCCAACAAGCCTTCCAACGTCTTTCATTAGTTCATGACGACTTTTTTTTTTGCCTGGGCGGGGTACTGGTGGTTTAACGTAACGATAAAACGGCAATCAATATCTACACCCCAGGATAGGGTACTGTGCACTCTAGGGTAGGGTATACACTACCCTATCCTGGGGTATAGATTCTTTTGCTGCAATGTTCAGTTTTGAAGCAAAAGAATCTTACATCCCATAAAATGACCGAGGGAATACCCTGTCATTCCCTTCCCTGCGATAGCTGCAATTAGGCTTCGCACCAAAATACTATTACATTCTGTGCAATGACCTAGGGCATACCCTACCATACGGTATAGAATGCAATGACCTAGTGTATACCCTACCCTAGGGTGGAAAATGCTAACCTACGGTATATAACCTAGCCCACGGTACAGAACGCAATGACCTGGAGTATAGCCTAACCGACAATTGTGAGAGAAGGCCTCTTTCTACTTGTACATGGTTCCAATTGTGCCTATCCTACCAATTGCAACTGATACTGTTACTCAGCACTCACATATGCCAGGACAACGAAGGGACAGTTGCGGGGAGAGTGTAAGGATACCCAACATCCTCACCAGGTAAGCACCCACGTCCCATGGATTACAGCAAAGGCGACACCAAAGGAACTCTCTGTAGTCTTTCCACCTTTCCTGTAATCATCTTCCCAACAAAAATAACCATAAAACGGTTGTCCCACAGCTACCAATACGCTCTAGAGACCCATCTCCAAGAATGCCAGCACAGACCTCCGGGCATAATCCCGAAATGAGTGCAGCAGTTGTGTTGCTGGGAACCGTTAAGTAGACGAAATGCAGTTTTCACCTTTCCTGTAATAATCCTCCCAACAATAACGACCTTTAAACGGTTGTCCCACAGCTTCCCATACGCTCGAGACACCCAGCTCCAAGAATGCGAGCACAGCCCTCAGGCCATAATCCCGAAATGAGTGCAGCCGTTATGTGTGGCTGGGAACCTTGTAGACGGAATGCAGGTCACTCAAGGTCTGTGGAAGGTTCCGAAGCTAATCGTCATGTGGAACGTCGAGCCCGCTCCACCGGAAAGAGCGTCGCTCACAATTGCCACAGTTGGGGAGGGTTTTGCAGCTAATCGTCATATTTGGAGCGACGCAGCCCGCTCCGTAGATACTACTGAATGTCCGAAACGGCACCAAATTTTCAGTTCACCGCTGGAATGGAAGCTTGGATACACGTTAAAAATTTACAACATTACCGGTCCGTTGATAGGCATTTTCCCTTGACTAGGGAAGTACTCCCACCGGCTACTTCCGGTATGCATCTAACCTAATTTGCACCAAGATTCCAGCGACAAAATCTTCGAGTACACCCTAAACTTATCTTCCCTAACTCGGCAAGACGACGAGGGGACAGAGGATGCAGACCCTGCTCATGGAGAAGAGCTTACAGGGGGGAAAAGGGACTTGAAAACATTCGATATGCTCGGGCCAAATTCATTCACAGATACAATACAAGAATTCACATCTACCATTGTAAGTCAAAGACTGCAGCTCCTGACTTTACTGATGATATGCAGCCAGTTCACCCACACCAAACACAACCTAATCGTGCCCATGGGGAGAGTGGGATCTTCTGCCATCACACAGATATATAGTCATGTACACAATTTCGCTGAATCACCAAACTACTATGCGTTCATCCTCCTCAAAGATGCCGGAGACGACGTACAATTACTCAACTTTCACAGCCCTTTCGGGTGAGGATCACCGACACAATCTGCTGGACTTCCCGTACAACATTTTTGTTTTCAAGTACCCTCCAGAAAGGCCTGTGAAGAGAGAGCACTTGTACATCGTCTGCGGCAGCTCTGAGAAGGATGAATGCACAGTAGCTTGGTGATTAATGCATATTTGCGTCTGGAAAAAGATCCCACTCTCTCGATCAGAGAAATTCGACGAAGTGCAGGATAAAAGAATCAGTTCATCTGCTGCGTTTTCGTAATGCAACATCAAGCAACGGCGACCTGAATTTCTAGAGATGTTCGACAGAGCGCGACCAGTGAGGCTTCCCTACTCACCTCCTCACCGTTCTCGCGCGTGCCATAAGGTCTAAGCATGAAGAAACGTAAATAAGGTAACGATCGAAACTCAAATTCAACGGTGATGGGCCTCGCCATGTCAATCACCAAACGCGAAAAGACCTTCAAACTCAGCACACGCCCAAACTCAGCAAGTTGTGTAAGCGTGGACCGAGCTACGACTTAACAGGCGGCACCCAGAGAGGTGCCACCGATCTTGGTGTTGTCTGCCCTTTTCCACGCCCATTTTTTTTGACAAAGGAAAAATCATTCAATTTCCGAGCTCTGTGAGTTCGGCCGGATCTTACATTCGCCTATACCAGCGCGCAGCTGGGCGGCAGAAGACAAAGCACACAGCTTCAGGTCCAGATCAGAGTACATCACGTGCCAAACTGCTCTTTAACTGCGAAGGGGAATACACAAATTAGGAACTTTCGTGGGCGTATCTGGCATCAATCGTCGCCAAGATCATCTCGGCAGAGCCCGGGCAAGGGTCCATCAAATAGAAATGTTCAATCCATCCTCGTATCCCCCCACGATTGCATAAAACTGGATTTTCATTTTTCGCTTTTTTTCCTTCTCTTTTCGTTTTTTTTAACTGGGTTTTAGGTATTCATCCTCGGACGTATCGGCAAAGACGTTGCCGATACGGCTACCTTTCACTTTGTCAATGCGCCTGCCATGTTTCACACACAATTAGGTTTTACAGGTCAATTTTTTTTCTTGCCTGTTTTTGTTTCGGTCCAAGGGTACCGTGTACCAAATTTGGTCTCATTTGGAGCATTGGAATTTCCTCTGCTAAGATTTCTGAAATGACTCAAGATTTCTGAAACTGAAGGTTCCCGAAATTTGAATGAAAGCGGACTTTTGCCTCGCTGTTTTATAGGGGGGGGGTAGTTTTTGCAGTTCGGTTGAACACGTGGTAGCAAGTTCGGTTAAAATGACCCTTGGATTTTATTATAAATGGCATGACAAATGGTCTGAAAATTAGGGCCTCCGTTAAATGACCCTCGGATTTTGTTGTAAATGGCATGACGAATAGTCTGCAAATTAGGGCCTCCGTTAACCACCTCCACGTGGTTAACGGGGACCCACAGTTTCAGCTGCTGACTAACAGGTCCAAAATTAAAATTAGTGTTTGGGGGTCAAATTTTACGTTTTTGCCTGTTTTCGTTTTGGTTCAAGATTGTGTACCAAATTTAGTCTCATTTGGAGCATTGGGATTTCCTCTGCTAAGATTTCTGAAATTCTGAAACTGAATGTTGGGGGGGGGGAGGTTCGTTTCTTTTTTTGCAGTTAGTAACCATGATCTCTACTTTACGACTTGGTGGCAAGCTTGGTTAAAATGTCCCTTGCATTTTGTCATACAAGGACTCCGTTAACCGCCTCTCCCTACCTCAGAATCCCATGACCTGTGAAGCTGTGTAAAAGCATTCGCAACACACGACCACGGAAGTGTTCTACAATAGCTGTCTGCACACGGGGAACGTCTTAAATGCGTGAGTTTTCTATGGGCTTATCAACAGTGCAACTTCTTTCGAAAACACATCATTTAATGAAAGGAGCACACGCAGTCTACTAGATTCTGTGACGGTGGCAAGCATCATTCTCAAACAACACAGATAGACCAAACTGACCGGACAAGAGCACATTCGAGGAGACGTATGTGCTCGAATTCGACCGATCAATCATAGGACGTACTGCACGCATACATCCATTCACAAAACGCAGAAAGCGACCGCGACCTCACCATACTCAAAAAGAGTCATCGTAGACTCGAGAGCTCATATCGAGAGAAAATATCCAGAATACGGGAAATTAACGTCGTTCATAAAAACTGACTCCAGCATGAGGGATAATCCACGAGCCGTTCCGGAAACATCCGCGTCATCGGATGTAAGAAAGCTCGCCGACGATTTCCGAAAAACGTCCTAATGATCTTACACGCCCTACTACACACCTCTCCAGATCTTGGCCATTCCTCACCTCTTCGACTCGAGCTCTTCATCACCCAACGCTCTTCAAAACCCCTTCCGCACCATTTTCAGACAAGATGTCAAGTTTCAAAGGACTCGCCGCCACAATACAAAGAGCCTGGACTTCCGCCATTCAGAGTTGCTTGTTCTCAACAGCGAAGTCCAATGATGTGAACCACTCCAGCGTCAAATCTTTTCACTTCAGAGGGATGAACCGAGAAGAATGAGTAGCACCAATACCGGGCCTTCCGTGCTTCACAGGCTTGTAGGTGATGGAAAACTCCCCAAGATAGTGGCCGATCATTTCAGGCTGCAGACAAAGGAAACATTCGGCATAATGTAAACATGTAAGAGACTGCAACAGCATCACCCCCAGTTATATTGCGAATGTAAAGGCCTGCCGCAAAGATTCGCACAAGGAAACGAGCAGCGCAATGATACCTACACATGACTTTAACTCTGCTCTTACGGTGCAAATGCAGAGCTGCGCTGCTTATAAGAACACTCCTAATTACTGAACTCATCTTCAACAAAGCCCAAACGACTGCACATACATGATCTCTGAAACCTTAACAACTAAAATCAAAGCACTCTCGCGACTCAAGAGATGACACGAGAACACGACAAATCCAGCAGAACAGCCCATAGACCCCGTTGTTGTGCCGGCATTACGACGACAACTTCAGCGGTCCGCAGTGAGCTCATGCAAGGAAGCAGTGTGTTAATTACAGCAATACACTTGGTGGACACCTGAGCTTCGGAAGAACTCTAGGACTCGATTTTCGGACTGCAATCGTCCACGTGCTTCTTCCAACTTGTAACCCTAATAAATGGAACTTGCCATAAACATTTAGTAATCATCCTCGTGACTTTCCTTTCAGCAACCCTACACGTTAAACACCCGCACATCCCCGAAATAGTTACTCTTAAATGGACTGGATGCGCACCTTGATTTCCACCTGGTTGAAGGTCTTCCCGTTGTACACGCCAATGATGGTGCCGATCATCTCGGGGACAATAATCATATTCCGAAGGTGGGTTCTGACGGGCTCCGGCTTCTCCCCAGGAGGAGCCTCGCGCCTCTGCCACATAAACAGCCAAAACAAGCACGCGCCTCGCAAAAATTACGAACAAAACAAGCAGCACCAACGGAAAACTCTAGAGACAAATGAACCTGAAGCGAAAAGCCTGTCGTGCTGTGAACTAACCGCTCTGTACCAAACCCGATCTCAAGTGGAAGACCTCTTCCTACCCAATCACAACGACCATCTTTTGTGGCGTGGAACAAACTGCGCAATGCTCGATTCTTTACATACTTCGCAATCACTTAGGCAGCACTTCATTACGTAATACAGCCAGTAACTCGCAAACTATCCCCGTTCGCCAGTCCTCCCACTCTAAGCGACGGGCTTTTGAGTAAATTCACAATCGCCATTCGTCAGAGAAAAAATATCCAAAAAAATACGTACCGCCTTACGAAGCTTCTTGATGAGCGCCAAGGGCTTCCTCTTCAGACCACGTTGAAACCTGGACACAGATGAGAGCGCGCCAGTAAGTTGAGCAATTAACCTATCGAGCACCAACGATAGTTTTCGATTCCTCCAAGCATCGAAACAGGATTTCTTCAAGAGTTCAAATTTTCAGAAGCTTCTTAAATATGAAAACACGTCACCCGCCAGTAAATATTCACAGAGATACTACATAGTGGCCACAAAATGTGAGACACTGAACATTCAAAACAAATCCTGGGACAAAACCCGTCCGGTGCGTGAATGCCTACAGTGACGACCGCCATTGACGAAAGATAATAGCGCAAGTGGTCGTGAGAAGAAGACGAACCCAACCACCGCTTCCCTGCTGCCGCCACGGCTTTCCTGCTGGAAAAACGGCTTAACCGCCGTGACGATTTTTCCCCGGCCACAACTTCCCTAATCTGCCACCACTTTCCTTCTCGCATCACAGCTTTCCTGCTCTCGCGGCAACTTACCCTCTCCCTCCAGGGCGTTCATTATCCAGGCGCGGCTTTTCTTCTACTGCGCAACTATCCGTGACCACAGCTCTGCTTTTCCCGCCTCTTCCAGCCACAACTTCCCCTCTTACGCCACAGCTCTGCTCACGCCGTAGTCTGGCCTCTCCCGCCAAGGCTTTCAATCTCCAGTCGCGGCTATCCTCTTCCTGACGCAACTTCGCTTCCTTCACCAGCAACTAGCCCACTTCCGCCACAGCTCTACTCTTCTCCTCTCTTCCCCGGCCGCCACTTCCCTTCTCCCGGCGTAGTTCTTTTCCCGCCACGTGTTGCCTTCTAGCCTTCCCCAGCCACGGCATACCGGCTCCAACCATGGCTTCTGCTCTCCTCTCGCCATGACACCTGTGATCTCCATATGGCAGGTTTCTTTACTCACGAGGAAGGCTTTAAATAGCTAGCACCACGGTCGGCTTGTTCCCATCGCTGCTCATCTCCTCTACTCATGCCTGCCACCGAGACGCCTTCTCGTCCCCGCCACGACTCTCCTTCACGTACAGACTTCTTGCTCGTGCTCCGAATTCCGTAATCGCGACCGTGAGTCCCTGCTCACAACGGCCTCCCTGCTCACAACGGCCTCCCGTGTGTTCCGTCTTTCTTCTCCCGCCCTGGTTACCCACATCACACTTCGTGTACCTGCTCTGCGTTCAGATTCCTTCCACTCACCAATGATTGCACGGAATTACAGAATCGGCCACTGCTTCCAGCTCGCCCCACATATCCGGCCGCGATGGTTGCCCCTCCACGCAGCGGTCCCGCCACAACCTCCATTCTTTGCCACGGGGTCCTGTCATGTCTGCATATTGTTCGCTTTTTTCGGTTGGCTATGACAACTCCTTCGACCATGACTTTTCCCCGTCTGGTAGTGCAGCTCTCTCCTCACTTCATCGGACTACTTAGGGCATACCCGTTCTCCTCAGATTCCAACCTCCCGACGTGGCACTAATAGATGGCTTCTTTGTCTGCTGTATCTTATCACCGTCACGATCACGACATCAATATCCTCGGTACGGACTACGCTCTACCGGGGTGAGATCTGCCGTTCCCGTCGTTTGAACGACGTACTATGAGAGATCTCCTGCATTAGCCTCTTGTACGCTCGGCAACGAGATACACCCAGCGACAGCAGAAAAACCCTAGCGAAAGCAGAAATCCAGCGGCAGCAGAAAAACCCTAGCGAGAGCAGGAATCTCCTGTATTAGCCTCTTGTACGCTCGTCTTACGGCAACGAGAATCACCCAGCGGCAGCAGAAAAATCCTAGCGAGAGCAGGAATCCGATTGCAGCCGCAGGACGAAAGTGGCACGACCGGCATGGCGAGGACCGCAAAGCCGAATCGGAAGCAGGAAAGTTGCGACAGGAGCACGAAAGCCGTGGATGGGGCATGAATGCCGAGCAAGGAAGTCAAGTCGGCAGATGGAAATTCCATGCAGGACTGATGGAAGAGAAGAGAGGCAGTTCTGATAATCAGTGACGAGAGCCAAGGGAGGGGAAGTCGCAGCGAGACCTATGAAAACGCGGGCAGCACGGCAACCTGAAGTCGATTGGCGAGCATAAGCAATTGTTTGGGTGGCAAGATAACCAACGTCTGAGTGGCACACCACATAAGCGTCCGTGCTGTCGTCAGTGCATCGGGATGATCGGCTCCGGAGCACCGGGATGGTCGACCTCAGGACGATGATATAACACGCGCTCGTTAACCAAATTCTGAGCGTCAGGCCACATAGACGTCGGTGCTGTGGTGAGAGCCGACGTCAGTGCGTCGGAATAATCAGGGAGACCGTGATGGCCGACCTCGAGACGATGGTATGACACGCGCTCGAGTCTGTGGATTAGCTGCCGACCCGTCAGTGCGTCGGAATAATCAGGGAGACCGTGATGGCCGACCTCGAGACGATGGTATGACACGCGCTCGAGTCTGTGGATTAGCTGCCGACCTCGGCTCGGCAAGCAGCAAAATGAACCGACCTGACGTACCGGAGTCGGCCTATGTCATATCGACGGCGCGAGACGTTGCCAGGATGTAAAGGTAATTTTTCGAGGCGGCAAGATGACCCCGCGAGAAAGCTGACAAATCTGTAAATCATGGGGAATATCGACGACAACGCACCACGGTGGGAGGGCCGGGTAGAGAGTCACGTAGCGCGCTTGGAGAACCAGGAGTACTTCAAAACCAAAACCGATTAGACAGCACAATGTAGAGCAAGACCGAAAAGGTAACACGAACACGACGAACTTGTAGGAGGCGAGGATAAGAAGAAACTGAGCAAGAGATTCCTGGACAAATCGAAAGGAAGCCGATTAACGAACGATAAACACGCACAAAAACGACCACAATGAAAAGCACCTACCTTCTTCTCGCCCGCGCATGGAACAGCTCCACGAGCTCATCCGTGCTCATGTCAAGGAGAGCATCGAGATCGACGCCCCTGTACGAGAACTTCTTAAACGTACGCTTCTTGGGCTGGGCTACGGCCGGCTCTGCTCCGCCAACGTCAGCCTGCAGAAGACAAGAAGCACTTAGCATCCATCCAGAATCACTTAACATCAAATGCAATGTGTACACTCGAATAAGAGGTACAGATCCCACTCAAAACTTTGCTTCCGAGTGACAATTCTGAGACGATAATCTGGTCCCCGAGAAGACCACAGCAGTCCTACCATCGCCGTCGTAGTACATCAACAGAAACTACATCGCAAACAATCCAGAAGCACTCATCGCAGCACACAGTATCGGCCATGGCGTGCGTGCTGATGATCAAAGAGAAGACGTACCATGTTGATTCAACAGGAAGCGCAGCTGGAGTCTGAGATGGAACAAGCAAGAGAGAGTGTGCAGGATCCAGAGAACGGAATATGACCACTGCTGACCGCGCCCTTCAAGGTTTCGACAAGCCGTCGATAATAGAGAACTGCTGACCAGCCGTGGATCGACGTATGAAAGTTTCGCCTCGAGCGGGAAATACCGCAACGACGGCCTCCGGCTCCTTCCTGCGCGGAAAAGGGCCGTCAAAGGTTCGACCCGGCTTGTTTATTGGAGATAAAGGGCCGACGGCAATTTACCCCATGAGGTACACCCCTGTGCAGTAATTTACCCCATGAGGTGCACCCCTGTGCCAGACTGACATACCGCGCAGGCGCGGGCGCGCAGCCCGTATTGTGACCGTGAGACTAGGGCTTGGACCCCACTGGCCGGCAGCGTGGAACTCATTTTCCATTTCCATGTTTAGTGGACCCCACTGGACCGCCAGGAAGGTGCGCCAATGCGAATTCGGGACCCCACTGCCAATCCCGGACTGTCATGGAAAACCATCGGAAGCGTTTCCACACGGTCGGCGGCTGGAAGAAACTGTCAGACCGTCCGGCGACAGTTTTCCAAAACCATTGTTTTTTGAGGGGGGGGGGGGGCATCTCTTGAGATGCCGTACCAGGGCACGGGCGGCCTGGTCAAGTGCATGATGGGGTGGACCGTTTCTTCAAACCACGGACAACAGTCGTGCGTCGCACCGTTCGGGTGTGGGACCATTCCGTTCCGCGGGGGCTTGCAGTCCCGTGTGCCGCCGGGAGCCTCCTCAACGGCTAGTTTCACACTGAGGGCACCGTATGCCAGCAGGGGACAGTGCCACACGGTCGCGGTGCGACCACTGCGTCCCGCAAGGACAAGTCCACTTCTGCCGCTGGTTCACGGAGCTGGACCACTTGGTTCGCCACACTTTCCATTTCGGGAGGCGACCTTCCTATTTTTCCATTTCGGGAGGCGACCTTCCTATTTTTCCATTTCGGGAATGGAAGTCCTTTTCCAGAAGCCGGCAAGACCGTGGCGGTGGGGCCTCGACTTTTTCTGGAAATGGTTTTCCAGACGGCGTTGACCGTTTTCCGCGGCCAACCATTTTTTCCAACCGCCGAGCAGTGGGGTCCAAGCCTAGCAGTAGTGACTTGGCGATTGGGTTGGGATAAGCGCGTCAGTCGAGAATTGAGAGGTTCTGTTTTTGCTTAGAATACTTATAGGTGGACCCCACCGGACGACGACTTGGAAAAAACAAGGCGCCCGATCGTTTTGGAGACCCCACTGGTGATGGAAAGAGGTGTGGAAAGCCTCTTTGGAAAGGTTTTCCAGACCCGGCCGGTGATGGAAAGGGGTTGCCGAGATGCTGACGGGGCGTTTCCACACGGTCGGCGGTCAGGAAAATTGAGGGCAAGTTCGGGCATTCCTTTTCCAAAGAGGGCGTCCAGCTAACTAGGGGGGGGGCCATGTTCTCCGATGGCATCGGGGGAGATGAGAGTGTGGTCCAATCGACGGTTCAGGGACCGTTTTGTGATGGACAGTCCTTACCAAACTTACCTATTCGGGAGGGACGCTGTCTGGTTTTCCTTTTCGGGGAGGTGGTGTTGTTTCCAGTGCCCATTTTTACGGCGGCGATGGGGTCCCAAGGAAATCTGGTAAATGCTTTCCAGACTCAGTCGGTCGTTTTTTGTGGCCATACTGCTTTTCCAGCTGCCGACCAATGGGGTCCACCTCTTAGGCCTGGACCCCACTGCCTGACGGCTGGAAATTGATGCTGGCCACAAAAAACGGCCAACCGTGGTTGGAAAGAACTTGCTGCGTTTCGTTGGGACCCCACTGCTGGCCTTGACTATCCGCACTGGAAATGGATGGACAAGCCCGAATAGGAAATCCCCCCGGGGTATTTCCCGAAAAGGCAAGTCAACCCGGGGCTGTGGTCCAGACCCTTCTATCGGCCTGCACCAAGACATCTCCGTGTGTGGTCGTGAGCGACCCGTTGTGGCGGGTGCCGCACAGGTACCGTGCAGCACACAACAGCCTCACGGGGTCCGCTCGGCCAGTGGGGCGCGACTGTGCACGGAAATGACCGTTGGGAGCATCGGCGGATGTCCCCCCCTCCCACGCTCCTCCCGTCGGTACCACTTTTCCCCGACGCGGACCATCCAGAGTGGGAGTGCATGTATGAAGCAATGACGAAAAGCCATAGCCATCGACGAAGGAGGGTTTGGCGAGGAGCACAGGTCCGCGAAGATAGTGCGCTTGTTAAGTGGCGACGACAGTTGTTGTGAAAGGGTTGACGCAGTTCCCATCACAGTCATAGTGTGGCCATGTGTCCATCAAATGTTGGCAGTTCGGAGGACGAGTGGGAAGACATGATGTTCATGATCCTTCTCCTCATGACGTAGTGGATGAACAGCCGCAACGTTACGGTCATGGTTGTGCTTGAAGCTGTCGCCATCACCCCGTTCATGTTCCGAGATGTGTCGGGGGCGCGTACGATGCTCGCAAGGGGGGTGGTTCACGACATGGCGTTGAGCTGCTTGGCGGAGCAGAAGTTGGGAAGACACATGCAACGAAGAAGGCGATTGTGGATGGTGGAGCGTAGCGGGGGTTTGTAAAGGGACCTTCAAAGGGTGGGTGTAGAGCACGATAAGGTGTTCTTGCGGTTCTGCAGATTACCGCGACCACTGTTTTTGCAAGTTCTTCAGCGCATCGGGCCCCATATCCATCGTTCGCCTACCAATTTTCGGTTGCCTATACCAACCGGGCAGAAGTTTACTTGCGCACTCATCCGGTGGGCAATGGGCGAATACTACCGGCAATCCGCCCACAGTTTGGGTATGGGGCTTGCGAGTGCATTGAGAAGCAAGGAGGACGTCGCAGATGCTATCCTCCACAAGTACGGCCACCTCCTCCAATTCCCTACAGGACGTTGTTTGGAAGAGGTGCTAAATTTATTTGAGGCGAAGGGGTTCCCCGAATGTGTGGGGGTAATTGACTGCATGCACGTGTACATTGATAAGCCGAAGGGGACGCGGTTAGAGTGCTACTATCATCATACTGGAGACTTCTCGGTCGTCGCGCTGTCGGAGGGCGCGGTGTCCCAACCCTCCTCTGTGTGTCAGGCTCCTACTCAGTAACCGCTTTTCGCTCAAACATCAGAGGCTCGTCGGGTTGTTCCCGAAGCCTACGCGACGCTCCTGGTGTACCTGAATAGTACCCTACTATGAACAGGTCCAGTTGGTGCCCTCCCTAGCAAAAGGGGTGCGCCACTGGACTTTCCTTTGGTCCACGCAGGCTAGGCGCCCTGCTGTACAACAAAGCACTACCGGTCTGTAGCCGTGGTAGCCGCCGGGCTCGCCCAGGGACGCGAGAGTACAGGGACCGACGCTGTCTTTTCTACTGCGTGTCAAGTGCCCCTCTGTCAAGTTATGGGTTAGGTACATGGATCCGTTGTTACAGTCAAACGCAAAAGGGGGTAAAGAAAGAAAGAAAGAAAAAGAAAAGAAAATGGGGATAAGAAGAAAACGGAAGTCGAGTGTCAGATCTACGTACAGATCTGGACCCTCACTTCTGTTTGGGACGATCTAGTGACCTCTGGCCGCTGCAGCGTTATGATTTCTTTTCTTTTCTTATTTTGTTGTTATTATCATTATTATTATTGATTCCTTTACTGATTTCCCCCTCTTGTCGTTCTCCGAGTAACTAACGGTTCATTTTCGAACCCCGAGCGCAGCCTGGTGGTCTAGACTGGGCGACTTTTTACTTACCGTCATGGGATCTGACCTGTTCGACTGGGTGGCGCTCGGTGGAACCCCAAAAGAGGGGCAGCCCGCGGCCGCATTGGTAGGAGGCTTATCACCTCCCTCGGAAGGTCATAAGCCCCCTCCTTGCCATCGGACACGGGTACCCGTGAAGGTTAGCCCGGTGGCGTGTTTAGAAGAAACGAGGGTGCCCCTCGGTATCCCATTATGGGACTGATGGGTCGGACTTGTGGCCGCTTTACGTGCTTTCACGAGAACTGGTAGTTGGCAGTAGCACGCTAAGCTCTACTTGGGCCCTGATTGTCAGAGTTCAGTCCCTCGTTTTTTTCAGAACCATCCGAATTAATTTTATTTTATTAATCTTGGAGTTTCAACTCGTCGATTGGAGCGGATGTCGGGAGATGGGCCTACGGTGACAGTTGTGCTGGACTACAGTTACGGCAGGGGGGAGATGAAGCTGAGGATAAATGTAGAAGGGGGAAAAGAGGAGGAGATGAGGGCGGACCCAGGCCTACAGATGGCGATCACAATGGCAAAAGATCGAGCAGAAAGGAGGTGCAGACGAGACGGGGTCACGGACGAGATGAGGGTGACTGTCGTGTACCTGGACGAAGGGACATCCACGGACACGGTGGATCGGGAAGAACGACACCTAGATCGCGACACTGAGGCCGAAAGCGAGGAGAGCGATTTGGATGCCACGACTCTGTCCTGGCATGGACTGGACCAATGGCGATGGAATCACCCGTCCGCCGAGTCTGTAGAGAGGGGCTTAAAAACGAACGCTCAGCGACACAAGGACCTGCACCGCTAGGCGGAGCATGACTAGAAAAACAGGGGGACTCAGGGGCTGAGTTCGAAGCAAGTGACGCCCAGACCCAGTCCTGGCATGAGTTAGGGTAGTGGAGTAGAGAACGCCCGTCAGCCGAGTCGGTAAAGGTTGGCCCAGAGGTCAGTTTTGAAAAAATAGCAGGTGTGAGAGTGAGACCACTCGACTACGACACCAAAAAAAAAAAAGACGGTTGAAATGAAAGACAAGGGAGAGACACATGTAAGAGAGTAGAGTCTCCGAGGTCAACGGGAGATCGAAGTAGTTCATGTGTGACAGAGGGGGCGGTGTCTAGCTGGCGGTAAGAGTACGAGGGAGCGCAGCAGTGCATGGAGTGTCCATGGTGGGCATTGGGCTTTTCAACACGAGCCTGGCCCCTGTGGGATAGCCATCATTACCCTGCGAACGGTGCGCAGCTTGAAACTACAGCCTTGCTCTGTGCTAGGGGACTTTATGCTCTCACCAGATTGAAAGGATCAGCGGCCAGTAGGGACACGACAGACGACACTCAAGAAAGGAGAACTAGACCGTGGGGGAGGCAAGCGCAGTATGTGTGCTCGGAATGCTGACTTCAAACTTGACTTCAGCGTGTGGCAAGCCAGACAGAGTGGTCCAGAGGCTAATTCTTGGCGGGGGCAATACTAAGGAAAATGGGGTAGTTACAGACCAGACGCGCTT